GTACTTCTGGTAGCTAGGACTCCCTAGGGCTCTTCTCTTAACTTTTGTTAAAGTCATAGGAAATCATGAACTGGGGTATGACCATTAGAATCTCACCCTGACAACTACAGGGGATCAACATCTCACAACTAAATAGTGACTTGAAACACTATAGAAGGAAAATCACACTGAACAACATTTACCATATCAGGCAGACATATTGAAAAAATAGATTAAAATATTAAAATAAGACAACCAATAATGTAAAAGATGAATATGGGTATAGAAAGTAGGAGAAAAGGCACAAGGAAAGCTATATGGAAATATTTCATATTAAAACAAATGATACTTGAAATAATACTACATGTAATAAATAGAAAGCTGAATATAGCCAAGGAATAAATTGTAAAATTAAAAGAGCAGCCTGAGGAAATCTCCCAGAAGATTAAAGAGGATAAAGGATACTGAAATAAAATGATGAGTACCATGGAAGATGAAAGAATACATGCTGGCATCCTGAAAATAGGAATGAAAAAGGAAGCAGAAATAAAAGGAAGAAAAATATTTGATGAAATAAATATCCTTGAAATAAGGAACAACTAAAGAACTCGGATAGAAAGAACTAAACACCAAATAAGAGAGATTAAGACTCCAGAAATGCAAATTTAAGAACATCAGAGAGAAAGAGAAAATTCTAAAAGCTTCTAGAGAAAAAGCATACCTCCTACACAAGAATCAGACTATCATCAGATTTCCTAACAGCCACACTGGATTCAAATACTTTGAGATTTTCCAGATATAACTGTTATTGTTTCTAGTTTAATTTCAATATGGTCTAAAACATACTTTGTTTGACTTGAATCTTTTCGAATTTACTAAGACTTATCTTCATAATTCAAAATATGTTCTATATTGAGTAAACCCTTCACCAAAGAGGGTAGATGATAAATATGAGCATAAACATATGCTAAACATCATTAGTTATTAATGCAAATGAAAACCATTAAAAATATAACCACACACTAATTATACCAAGTATTGCCAGAGATATAAAGGAACTAGAACTCTCATATACTGCTGTTTGGAGTGAAAAATAATTCAACTACTTTAAAAAACAGTTTGGCAGTTTCTTAAAGATACACTTACTATACAATTTAGCCATCCTACTCCAAAGAATTTTCCAAGGAAAAAGAAAGCCTATGTCTATGGAAAACTTAAATATAACTGTTCACATCAAATTTATTCATAATAGCCCAAACTGGAAAATTCCAAGTATCCATTAATTTGTAAATGAATAAAAAACTGTAGTACATTTATATAATGGATGTACTACTACTCAATGATAAAAAGAATGAGCTATTGCTACATGCAATGACATGAGTGAACATCAATATAATTATGCTAAACAAGATAAAAAGAGTATATACTATTTGATCCATTGACATAAAATTCTAGAAAATACAACCAATAAATTATGTCATAAAGCAGATCAGTGATTGCTTTGGGGATGGGTAGAAGAAAGAGAAAGCTGGGAAAGCAGGATTACAACAGAGCATGAAAAAACTTTTGGGGGAGATGAATATGCTCATTATCTTGATTATGGTTATAGTCTCATGAGTATACTTATGTGTCAAAACCTGCCAAACTGTAAACTTTACTGTGCATTTTACTGTGTATAAACTATACCTCAATAAAGATGTTAATAATGAAAAATCACCAAAATAATAAATTTTTTATCTGAAGAAAACATGTGAAATACAGATCCTATTTTTAATTTGAAAAAATGAACAAATAAAGAGAATGTGAAAAATAAAAAGCATTTTGGTAATAATCTAGAACAACATCAATATAGTGGAAAAGAGAAAAGAATCCAGGGACATGAGATGGTATGTATCAACAGGAATCCAGTCAGGAGTCAGAAACACAGTTATTGGTAAACTTACAGAATCTAACATAATTAAGGAATTATTAGTGATGTTGCAAAGTACCGAACAAAAAAAGGGAGACTGGTACTAGTACCACCAACTCTTCTCCCAGTAGTGGCAATTTGTTACAGTGGCAACAGTTGATTTTAGTTCCCTGAGTTTCCAACATTTCTAGAGTCAGGTTCAACATGCCCATCAGAAAGTAATAACCCCCACTTCAGAGGTCTCAATCTCCGCTCTACAGGGAAACTCCTCCAAATTTATAGATTTTAATGATTTCAATCTTCTCTGCAGAAATATTGAGAAAATGTGATTGCCACCTCTTCAAAAATAATTAAGAAATTTTCACTAATTTTAAGTGAGATAATAGCGATATAATTGTAATTATATTTCTGTAAAAGGTCCTTATCATTTAAAGATTCATATTGAAATATTTACATATGCAATAATATGATGTCTGTGATTTTCATTAAAATAACTTCAAGGAAGAGACTGCAAAAGTGATGAGGATAAGATAAAATATATTTTGAAAGAATTGATAATTAACACAGCTGGATAATAGATATAGGCAAGTTTGTTATAACATTCTGATTTTATGTTTGAAATTTTCCATAATAAAATGTATTTTAAATCAGTAATATTTATACAATTAAAACACATACAAGGGTTTGGGGATTTAGCTCAGTGGCAGAGTGCTGCCTAGGATGTGCAAGGTACTGAGTTCAATCCTTGGCCCTAAAAAAAAAAAAAAAAAAAAAAAAAAAAAAAAAACCACTCATACAAAGAAAGCATAAATATCAAGTATATCAGAATACTGGTGGGAGTGGGAATGGAAATCAGAAATAGGAATAGAAGGAAATAACAATGAATAAGTGAAAGAAATAGAAGAAAAGATCAACAGCCAAAGTATGGTATAAACTAAGGAGCATAATTGATTCCACTTTTGAAAGGAAGAAAACGAAATTCTAAGACTTTAGATTAATCTTTTAAATTTGAACTTGACGTATCTTTTTTACTTATTTTTTTCATTTGCCTTTAAAATCAAACATTCATTAAAATTAAATACATATTGTTGGCCATGTGTCTTAGTCCATTAAGGCTTCTATAGTAAACACCATAAATTGGAGTTCAAGAACAAAATTTCAACAAATTGAGTTTAAATATCTACTTAGAGCCAATTGCAGTAAGTGGCATAGGCCTGTGATCCCAGCTACTCAGAAAGATGAGGCAGGAGGATTGCAAGTGAAAGACCAGGCTCAGAAATCTTAGCAAGACCTATCTCAAAATACAAAATAAAAAGGGCTAAAGTCATAGCTTAATGGTAGAGTGCCCCTGGGTTCAATCCCCAGTAGTGCAAAACAAATCTAATTGGCTTTTATAGCAATTCATGAATTGGGCAGCATTTCATTCATAAAATTGAAAGGTACTCCACTAGGTGTGGCAGAACAGTCAGACTTTGTAAGGTAGCTTAAGCAGAAACAGGAAAACAGCATCATGCAAAAAGTGAAGTGGTTAACATCAGGTTACCCTACCAGGTTTATTGGGCCCCTTATGATTATTTGCTATGATTCTTCTGTTTTTCAGGAAACTGGGCTTTTTTTTAAGTTCTATTTGATTACATGGTACCTAGCATAAATGACTATTCTGGTTTGGTCTGGTCTGTTGACAGTTCGGAAACTCAGTTTAAAACAATAGCTTCTCATAAATGTTATTAAATTTTACTTAATGAATTTTATTTATTTAAGTAAATTTTATTTAAATAACAGAAATTTGTTTTTCACAGTTCCAGAGGCTGAGAATTCAAAACAACAGCACTAGCAGTTTCCGTGTCCAGCGATGGCCCACTTTAAGAATCACCTCCCATGGTGGAAGAGATTTGCCACAGTCTGGCTGGGCACAAAAAAACCCGAGCCACCACACAGCCTTGTAGATTCAAACAGCAACTCTTTATTCCTGAACTCTCACCGGCACTCTGCCCACACTTCCCGTGAACACACAGCCTCTACCGGCTCTCTCAGAACCCCATGAGAACTCAACCGGAACTCCAAAGGAGCGGGTGCCTGAGGCAGCAGGATCCACCCTAATCCTAGTAGGATCCACTCTAAACCCAGAGCCACCCTAATCCCTGAGCAGGGTCACCTTTCAACCCAAAAATGCCATGCGTCATTCCTCTTGGCTATGGCTCTCAGCAGAGATTAGTTAGTTTTTATGAATCTCTTTTGAAAGGGCATTAATCTTAAACATAAGCACTCTTCCTTCATGGCCTATATCACCTACTAAAGCCCCTATCTCCTAATGCTATCATCTTGTGGATTAGGATTTCAACATAGGAATTGGTGGCTAGCACAAACATTCAGGCCACTGCACCATGTACACATCCAATTCTCTGACTCCGTGATGTAGTTCCTGATTGTTCTACTGCCCCAAACTCCATCCATGCCCCATATCTATATATCAACTTTTCACACCTCCTTCAAAGTATAGCCTATATATCACCTCCTCATGATGCTTTTCCTAATCCCTTGTTCTCTCAGTGGAGAGTACTCTATATATGAATCAAAAAATGAAACAAAAAGATCACACTTTATTTGGCCACTCCTGATATATCCTTTTGTTTTGTAGTAGAGGTTTTTTGGATTTTGTTTTTTTCCTTTTTTGTATTTACCTTTTGTTCTTAAGATCCATTTATTCTCTGTGTAGCATTCCAGGAAACCAGGTACAATAATCTCTGAATCCATAATGCTTAATAATGTCTTAGATATTACAAGTGTCTCATAAATGAGAAATTAGAGGACAGAAAGAAAGGAGGGAGGAAGGGACAGAGGAAAAGAAAGACTCAATGAGTGAAATGAATTTCATTTCACTGGTTCTTTCAAGGGGAAAAAGACCAACAAAATATCTAAACTCACTTAAAAACATAAAAAATCATTTTATAACAAAAAGATGTCATCAATTTTATAACTTTTCTTTCTCAGTTGTCAGGAATCCTTTTTAAGGCTTTTGAGTTCATGCATCAAATTTTATAGTGTGTGTGTGTGTGTGTGTGTGTGTGTGTACACATGCGCTAAAAATTGAAATTTAAGTTCAGAAGCACTGACCATACTGCTGCAACAAACAGCAGAAATGTGGAAGGGTCTTTCTATATTGTTCAGGCTGGTCTCAACCCACCTCACTCTAAATTGATGTGCACTTCCTCACCCCCTTCTTAGCCTACTTACCTCAGCTAACAGGTTCCATGAGAGGCAAAAACAGCCATAAGGACAGAAGAAACTCATGAGTCCTTTTAGAGAACGTGGCATAGATGGCTTTGGAGAGACGTAGTCCTGGGCTCCAATCCTGTGTACAGTTTTCCAATTCTGTACTCTTGGCAAGTGATCTTCAACCTCTCTGATTTTCTGTTGTTTAAAAACAGAGTAACAGTTATTGTGATTGCCATTGTTATTACCAACTTCCCTGTTTCAACTTTTGCTGAGAGCCATAGCCAAGTAAGAATGACGCATAGCATTTTTGGTTGAAAGGTGACCCTGCTCAGGGATTACCGTGGCTCCAGGTTTAGGGTGTATCCTGCTGGGAATAGGGCATATCCTGCTGCCTCAGGCACCTGCTCCTTGAGTTCCCGTGGAGTTCTGGGGGGGGAGGGTTCTGAGAGAATTGGTACACAGAGCCTGCAGAGCCTGGTTGAGGGAGTGTATTTTTTCCCCAGAACCAGCGTGTAGAGTGTCGGGGAGAGTTCGGGAATAAAGAGTTGCTATTTGAATCTACAAGGCAGTGTGGTGGCTCAGTTATTTTGTGCCCAGCCAGACTGCGGCAAACTTTTTTTCTTTTATTTGAGAAAGGGTCTTTCTATATTGTCCAGGCTGGTCTCAAACCCTCGGGATCTAGTGATCCTCCTGCATCTCCAGAGCTGGGAACATAGGCACAGGCTCAACGTTCAAGTGACTCAGTGCCTTTTGGGCAGACACAAGTTGCAGACTTTTCTTGTTGAGAGAAGAGTATGGGTTGGAGTTGCCCTGTGATTCTATGAAGACTGGTGCCTGAGTGGAAAGATGGCAAAAAGGAGAGTTTAGAGGCCCACCAAGGCAATAAGGAGTGAAGAGATGACCGAAGTTTCCCTAGAGTACTTGGAGACCTGCTAGCTTTGCATAGAACTGTTCCAGATTCAAAGGGACCAAGCACTAGGTACAGGTCCCTTCTAAGCCCTCTACCCGCAAGGCACACAGGACACCACGACTACAAGCAGAAAACCCTCATGGCCAGACCCACAGAGTCTTAAGAGAGCTTCCTTCCTACAAGAGGAAGTGTGGTGGGTGTGGCTTGGAGTTGGCCCAAGAGAGTATGCAAGAAAGAGGACAGTTGAGAACTTAGTTTTATATTTGAAAATAGGCTATAGTTTTACAGAAAAGTTTCTGCACAGAGGGAATAATGGAAAGTAAAATAAATAAATAAAGTTCCTTCCCACTAATTAAGAAAACTTTTATTTTTTATGCTATTTAAGAAGTAACTGTCTCTATTTTAAAAAAGGGTGATAATTTACACCCAAAATGTTAAGGGGAATGTATATATTTTACTTAATAAAGGGAGTTCTAAGTATTTCTTGAGGTGATTATTAAAAGTTGTCAAATTTCATCAAATTTTTTAATGAAAAACTAGTTTTGTTAACTAAGTAAGTAAATGATATTTGATTATATTAAACCATTATGTGGTTACATAAAGAAGATTTAGAAATGAGATGTAACCAATATACCATACAGTATTAATATTAGACCAGATACACTGAATAGTAAGATTATTTTAACATATAAAGAAATAGTTAAACTTGTGTTAATTGAGAGATATAAAAAAAAGAAAATCTGAAACAAAATAACAGCTATTTTCTACAAGTAAATAGCAGAAGATCTGTTGAGTAGAGGGAAGGGAATAGCAGGAGGGTAGAGGAAGGGATAGGGGAAGTACTAGGGATTGAATTAGGGCAAGTTATATTCCATACTTTTATAATTATGTCAAAACAAATCCTAATGTTTTGAATAACTATAAAGAACCAATAAAAATAAAATAAAAGTTTTAAAAATAGTTGTTTTGTCTGTAAAAATGTGCAATTATTATGTCTTACTCCAGCTAATACAAAGATAATTAAAATAGTTACTTAAATTTCACAATTAAAGCATATGAAGAAATATACATTTCTGTGATTTATTTCTAACAACTGTAAGAAAACTATGCATATGAACTAATGATAAACATTTCTTACTATTAACTATAACTTCCATAAAAGTTAACAGTCAATGATGGTGAAAAAGGAAAAAGCATGGATAATACTTAAGCTGTTATATTGGATAAGGAAAATAAATAATACTAAAAATCCTTTATTGGGATTTGGTTTATGTAGGGATTTGGAAATGAGTTTTTAAATCTAGTTTCCTGTCCTAGTTTTTTTTTTTTACAAAATTAAATAAAATTTAAAAAAAAGTTAACAGTCGTATTATTCCAGAATCAATATACAAATATTTCAAATACAGATTATAAACAAGTTTTTTAAACATTTTCTCAGAAAGACCTTCCTGAAACACTCACTCCCCGTCTAAACTATATCTTCCTCTCCTTATTCTTTGTTGTAGCATTATTTTACTATCCTAAGCCATCATAATTTTAAATTGTGCATTAATTCATGTGGCTCCTTATTTTACACTGGTATATCCAGCAAGGCTACAAACTGTTGACAACCACTCTTTTTTTCATTATTTTGTTCCAGCTCCTAGAATAGTACCTGACACTGAGTGGGCACTTAATAAATAGTCATTAAATCTATTCATATTTTCCAGTCCCCTTAAATTATTATTTTTTTCACCTTTCCACTTATTGAACCCCTACCCTTGCCAGCTCCCCTAACCCCTGCACAGTATTCACACACTACTGGAACTAAGAGAACATGACTGATAAGAGGAGTTGAACTAGATGGAGAACTGCCTCTGGGATAATACCTCTATCACACCGGTGAAGTTGACAGGACTGCATGCTTGGGGTAGGCAGGGGTCACTGGTCCAATGAACTCAGAGATAAACAGCTGACTTTGCAGTGGAGTCCTGAGCTCAGTGCCATTGTTCCACTATGTTGGAGAAGCACTGGCAGCAGATCCTCTGGAGCTGAAAGTGTAGAAGAAAGGCAATGAAGGGCCTGGATTTTAATTCAGATCCTGCCACTTACTACATAGGTAAACTTAAAAATATGCTTAGGTCCTCAAAGGTTACTTTTTTCATCTGCAAAATGGAGAAATTATTGCCCACCTCATGTGGTCATTGTGTGAATTAAATGACAGGGTATTTTAGATTTGAACATCGAGAGATACACACTAATGTCTCGGTTAATGGAACACAGTGACCATAGTTATTTGAAACAAGTCTGTAAACATTTAAAACAGACTTTGCATAAATAAGTATTGAACTGGGTGACTCAGTCTCCTTGATCAAATTTTCCTGTTTTGTAGAATGAATCATCTACCCAACTTTTTCTCAATAAGATATCACGTCTGATGTACGCAAAGCAGTTGTTTTTGTTATTTTTGTCAAAGACATTAGTCAAAGAGATATTGTTCTGTTCCTTCTGTGCCTTCATACACTTAGCTTGATTACTGGGACAGTTTACAATCTCTCTTGGAAGATAAAAGATGTTTTTCATCTTGCTCTCTGTACTGTGGGCCTGAACCCCTCCTTGAAATACCTCAAATATGTTTTCAGAAATAAGATGGAAAAAGGTCCTGTGCCTTTTATTGACAGTACCTTTAGAGAACTTTCATTTGTAGAGAATTTTTTCCAAAGCATATTCATATATGTTACATAGTATAAACCTCACAATAACCATGAGACAGAGATGGAATTATTATCCTTTCCAATTTCATTGCTTCTGATTATTTAAAAAATATTTTTCCCCAGAACTTGGGCTAAGAGGTTAACTTATTTGCCAAAGGCTTATCACTAGCATGTTAATGTTTTGAAAGAGTCAATGAGCTAATAAGTAAGGAATCCAACCACTGATCCAAACTGTTTTCCCTTTTCTTTCCTTCTGTTCTCTTTTCCTCTCCCCACCTCTCTCTTTTGCTCTTTTTACTTTTCATTTTCTGGTAATTTTTCATAATCTCCATGTCAGTTTTTATGTCATTCCTCTGGAATTCTGGATTGTAATACTAATGTAATTACTAAAACTATAAGCCTCACAGAAAAATAAGCATAAAAGCTATTGTTTTATATTATTCAACAGTATTCTAAGTAGTTAAAAGAAACCTAGCTTTCCGTAATCATGCAACAACACGTTACTTGAATTGAGCCGTTAACAGACTTTACATGTTGAAGTAAATGTTTGCAAACTTACCTTGGCATTTCTTTTTGCCTTTTAAGTAAGTTACCTTATAATCATCTCAATATAAAACATCCCATAATCGTAGAAACTGGCCATAACTTGAAAACTAAAATTTGGAAACCACAAAACATATTACTATAATTAAAATGTAATGATTCTGAATCTCCCTTTTCCATCTAGAAATTACAGAGAGAGAGGAAAGCTTTATTAAGGTTTCTGTTTTCAAAAAGATTTTATGTTACTGTATTATAGGGAAAAAAAACCCAGGACTTATATGTCAGCTTGACTGTAATACAATTTAATGACAATTAAATTGCTTGTTTCTTGTAAATTTAACATCATCAAAACTACTAAAGTCCTTAAAAACAGGACTATTTGTACTTTTTCCCTCTTATTTCACATTCTAGTCTATCCCATCCTCTGCCAGGAACCTTATATCAACATAGTCTTCCTACAGAATATGATAGTGTAATATTATTGAAGGCATGTCATTAATTACTCAAATATTCCTTTTGACATTTTGACACTACTTTGGCTTATGATAAATATCATAAATGTCTCACAACCTCTTCACAATTTAGAAACTGGTTAAGCATTGTTTTTAAGAATCTGTAGATTCATATAGAAACTAGGGACTATCAAAAGGAATAAAGGAATCTTTTAATGACAGTTACATACTCTGATTATCTCACTTTGCATTTATGAGGGGAGTTATACACCCTATCTAAAGAAAAATGGGGGGAAATTTTCTACTTCTGTCATATTTCAACTCCAGCAAAAGCAAAGGAAAAATATTTCAAGAGCTAGAAGCTCTTTTGGCCTGCAAAATCACAACACAGGTTTAATTTAATTCTAAACCATGAGAAAAATTAACCAGAAGACAGTGTAGCAAAAATCCTCATGAGAACAGTAAATGCTATTACTTTCTTCAGAATGACATCTGAAATGATTCAATTTTATTGTCTTCCAAAAGGAAACTTTCATGAGAGCAGAAAGGCTTTCTTTCTCATTCATTCACAGACTATCCCAGAACCTACAGAATGGATGCCAAGGAAGTATTTGTTAAATAAACAACTGTCATTAAAGTCTCTAACAGAGAATTACCTTAGTTGTATAACTATGCTATTTTACATTCTGTCCAAACATTCACACTAAGTTCTTTGTAGCCCAGATCAACATTGCTACTCATTTTACAACTAATTTATGAAAATATTTACTCCAAGTGATTGATTAAATATTAGAAAACATCTGTAAAAGATTTCTTCTGTTTTTTTTTTTTTTTTGTGTGTGTGTGTGTTTGTTTATTTATTTTTTGTTTTTATTTTTTAGAGCTGAGGATCAGACCCAGGGTCTTGACCATGCTAGGCAAGCACTCTACCACTGAGCTATATCCCCAACCCTGTTAAACTTTTTTGTTGTTGTCATTTTGTTTTATGGTGCTGGCACTGGAACCCAGGGCCTCTTGTGCTTGCTGGGAAGATTTCTTAATTATTTGTTTTGCATAATGAATACAAAAAGATAGTGCCAAGTATAACCTCTGTCATCTACTTTCAAAGGCAAATTCTTACATTCAAGGTTTTAACTATTGCTGTCACACTGCAATCAAATTATGACTCCAAAAAACTGAATTTCCCTATCACACATGCCTGCAACCAAAGGATGTTGCCCTTGACCTTACTGAGGACAGTATAAACAATGATTAGTTCCCAGTATGTGGAAATAGTTCATGATTTCTCAGAAAAGTTACACTTGGTTTTCCTGGACAAGAAAAAGTTGCTTTACTGAGTGCTTGAGAGACGTCTCTGGATAGAGAATTTTCATTTTTGATATCATGAATTTTAGTGAATGATATTATGAAATATTACTAAAATGCAGTGGCCTGGTTTACACAGATTTCCTATAAGGATCATACTTAGAGTAGATTTTCCTTTAAAAAAGAAAAAAAAACTCACTGTGGGTCTCTGAGATATACTAGCTCCCATGTTACTTTCATCTCTCAAAAGTAGTGATTCAACGTCTGATATGCCATTTGGTCTTTCCTATATCTTCTCTAATCAGCACATGATGTAGATATTGTTCTCAAATCCTAGAATTGTGTACAAAGAATCCAAAAGGTACATAGAAAAAGTGAAACATAAAAAATAAAAATATCAAATTTAATAATTTTCTTTTGTACAGTCATATACTGAATGAATTATACCATCACACAGTCTAAAGGCTTGGGATTAAGTGCAATTTCTATCATCAACATTTCTCTTGAGAACTGAATCCTCTGTTTTCTAAGAACTAAGTCAGTTCTTAGAATTAATGAGGCATACCGAGAACATTATAAAAGAGCAAATTAAATTCATAAAAAACCCCAAGGCTGTCCACTATTAGTTTATGTGTAAGTTAAAGCTATTAAGAAAACTGAATAATATTCTTAATGTAAAGCACCAGGGATATTGTAGATATAAGACATGTTTATTCCCTCACTTTTAATTTCCTCCTTTTCTGTCAAAGCACTCTCTGTAAGACAGGCCTATTCTAATTTCAGTTTTGATTTTAGAGATGTGAGGAAAGTGGAAATGAACTTAAGACTTTGAAGTCAAACAGATCTGAATCAAACCTGGTTCTGTTTACAAACTTGCTCTATTATTGTATTTCCTGATCTGTGGTTTTGTTTTCCTCCTCAGTAAATTGTGCTGATACTTCATAATAGCCTTTTCTAACCTTTTTCATAATATTGTACACCTTAAAAATAAGAATATTTTTTACTGCAAAGGATGTTGCTTTCCATAGTAAGCTGTGAACAAGGAGCCCAGACCACTCAAATTAACTTTTGCTTTGCCATCACAAAAGTGAAGAGGAAACAGCATTTTGGCATCCTGTAACTAGTCAGGGCACAAAACTGTCCTAGGGCATACTGGGAAGCTATTCTGCCTTTTTTGGTTTGTAGGGAAGAATAAATATAAATCTGATCATAACAAATTTTGAGTAATTTCTTAATTCTCCCTCCATGTCCAGATCAGAGACAAATAGAGCAACAAGCTTACCTGGTACCCATCCCCTTTGCTGAATACTCCTCTGAAGGGTGGAGTGAGTGTGAGTGTGTATGTGTGTGTGTGTGTGTGTGTGTGTGTGTGTGTGTGAGAGAGAGAGAGAGAGAGAGAGAGAGAGAGAGGTAAACAAAATGATGCTAATCATTGTGTATGTTCAGTTCTTTTCAACTAACCATTTTGATGACCTTAGAAATATTTGCAAATATTTAAGGAATAGCACCCATGGAACACTTACTATATCCTGATACAACAGACCTAGATTCTCAATTTCATACTTCATAGTATTGACATTGCGAGCAGGATATTCATTGTTGTGGGGCTGTTCTGTGCATTGTAGGAAAATTTTTTTTTAGGTAAGTCAAATTTCTTTTCCTAAGGTACCTACTACATTTAAACCCAAGTGCTAAAATAAGTGGAAGAGAGTAAAGTGTGGAAAGTAACTTATAGAAGTACAATTATGTTATCATTCTTTTGTTTTCTTTCAGGAACTGGTCTTACCTGAGTAAAATTGCCCAATATGAAGTACAACTACCTTTCTACACAGATGCAATTATGTTTACATTAAAACATTTTTTAAACATCTTATTATCTATGCACAGATAGATAATCTATGTACCTCAGAATATTGCTGCATGAGACCAGGCCAATTGTCAATTATTTGGTATTATCTAGAATGAAGTTTACATATATTATATGAATTTAGGTAAGTAAAATAAAGGCAAAAGTGTGGAACTAGATTAGGAATCCTTAAAAGGGTAAATACATATCTTAATGACTTTACCTTTGAACACTTGACCTACTTTAACAATAATAATTGTCCATGCCAATCATTGTGAAACAGTTTTATTACATGTGACAAGCATGGGTTTTTGGGTTTTATTTGTCTATTCAAAGTCCCATAATTTAGAATAGCTAGATAATTTGGAATAAAAGACAAGTGGCTAAGGAATGTCTACAGTCTCCATTTTCAGGAGTTTGGTGGTCAGTCTTCTGCTGATGTGACCAAATACCTGAAGAAAAGAAAAAAAACAATTTAAAGGAAAAAATGTATTGGGGCTTATGGTTTCAGTCGTGATCACCTTGGCTCCATTGCTTCTGGGTCAATGATAAGGCAGATAGATCATCATGGAGGAAAGCATGTGGTAGACCACAGCTGCTTGCTTCATGGTGGACAGGAATCAAAGAGAAAGAAAGGAAGGGGCTAGAAAAATGATAAAGTCCCATTCCCTTCAACTAGGTCCCACTTCCTACAGTTTCTACCACCTCTACTTAGCAATCAATCTAGCAATGGATTAATCCACTGATAAAGTTAGAACCCTCATGATGCAATCACTTCCTAAGAACCCCACCTCAGAACATTGCTGCATCCAGACCTTTAACACATGAGCCTTTGGGGGTCATTCCAGACCCAAACTATAACAAGGATAAAGGAAACTGAATTCTGTTAAGGCATTAGCTTATCTTATCGGTCATTCCTTTCCATTTTCCTGGTTTCCATTTCTGTTACTGAAACCATCTCTTACTTTCTGCTTTCTTCAACCATTGGAAATAATAACAGAGCTCCTACCCCAGTGAGATTTACTTTTAACTAATGGGGGAGAGGACAAGGGTAAATAACTAAAACAAGATGAGTCATGTGATGATTCCAAAGATGGGTAATAGGTACATGAGGAGTCATTCCACTATGTTCTCTCTGCTTTTGTTATTGGAAATGTACATAATAAAAAAGTTGTTTTCTTTAACCATACTCCATAACCATTGATTTAGAAGAGTAAGTCTACTGAACTAAGCTTTCACCCTTCCCAACCCATCCCATCATCTTGACACCTATATCTTCTTCCTTAGCATCTCATAGGAAGACAATGAGTTCTGAATCCCATCAAGTCATGTCTCCTTAAATATCTTGATTCTAAAACCATCATTTCTTACTCCCACATCTTTAGTCTTGTACCCTGTTGACTCATTTTTTACTGTATTTTTTTTAAAGGGCTTTACTCAACTATACAGACCTTTATTAAGTAAATGAAAATAAGCATGTTTATATTTTTCAAAAACCCACATAAACTAAAAATTGACTTAAAAATAAAAGCTTTTTTTTGCACTTCTGACTTAAAATAACAATAACACATCTCAGTAACATGTGTTAGAAATACTACGCAATGCAAAAAACACTTGTACATTTTCACCTCAGTAGTATTGGCAAACCTTGTCTCTTCCAAATTCTCATTTGAATAGGTGAGGAGAGGGATGCCCATACTTATGATAAACACAACTGTGCTTATCCCCTGAGCAGAAGACCCCCCTATTGCTCTTCTATTAAAAGAACCTGGAAACCTCCTTGAATATGATCAAATTCCAAGTATAATTCAATTTATATCTTTTGTAGTTTAGTACCATGCACTGTTAAGAAATAACTTTCTACCAGCTAAGAATTTAAAAGAAAGTCACTATCTGAAACGCTGGAGGTTGTCTGGAGACCTGTAAGAGTTCCACTGAAAAGGGCCATCAGCTTCACCCAGGCTCTGTAGCACACAAGCTTTGAAACTACAGTTGAGTTCAGATCCCAGGGTAGTCACTACCTGTGCTTAGTATTATTAGTATCTCAGTCGCCTCATCCAGAAAACGCAGCAATCCAGGACAGCCAGCACTGCTCTTTGGATTCCAAAAGTCCAGCATGAAGCTGGTGTGCTGTGCACAGTAATTTGTTGAGACCTGAGAAAACTTCAGGGACAAGGTACACTCAGGCCAAAGAGTGCAGTAAGGCAGGGGTAGGTGGCCTCAAGTGACTTAATCCAGGAATACCCTCCTCAGAGACCCCTGGGCACTATCCCTATGCTTTTCTTATTTGATCTCTGAGAAACCGAGATGAGTGGGAAATGGGTAACGATGGGACTACAGAGCCTCCTTGCCTGGAGGCCTGGCGTAGCTGAAGTGTAACCACAGCGATTGAGGCTTCTGCAGCCCGGGGGCAGGAATAACCACCAAGACTTTGCCCCAAATCAGCCTCCCCGGGATAGACCTTCGGCTCCGAGCCCGCACAAAGTGCTGAGTCACCGTGAGGAGGCACCGCGCGCAGGGAAGGCGGGCCCCGCGCAGTCACGTGGCGGAGGCTGTATCACAACAACCGCGCGGCGTGCAGCGCCCGCAGCCCGCGCCGCTTCCTCCCGCGACAGACCCGCTCTCCGAGCATGCTCAGCGCGGTCGCCCAGTTCCCCAGCGGTCTGGCTCCACTGCCCGGGTTTTTCCAGCTTCCCTGGAGGCGGGGCTTGTGCCCGCGCTGGGTGCAAGCTGGCGAGGATGTGCTACTCAGACCACCACTAGGCAGGGTGGGTTCCAGTGGACCGATTCCAGTATTGTCCCGTGGAAGAAATGACCTTGGATCGACCTTTAATCGTGGCCTAGGGAAGATCTGATTCTGCAAGATATGAGTTTCTGCATCTCCCTTTAGCAATGGTTAAATCCCTAATGCGCCTGTCAGCTGAAAATGCTCTCCCAAGTGTCCGAAACGGAGCCCCGAGTAATCTACAGAATGAATTCGAGAAGTAGACCTGTAAATGTAATGCACTGTCAAATGTGACCCTTTGATCCGTGGTGTTTCTTTCTTTCTTTTTTTTTCTTTTAACAGAAATAACTAAAGGTACTAAGAAGACCATGACTTAAATTTGACATGACTCAATGCCGGACCCAATTTTGGGTTGTCCAGAGCCCATAGGCTTTGGTTCGTAATTCAGGGGCAATTTGGGAGAGGCCCCCTTAAGTAAGTTTGAACCAGAATCTGAGGCTCAATTAACAGTGTTAACTGTTAATTCGTTTAGTATAGCGTAGGACTTCCGCTGTATTAGAACTTGGTCTTTTTCTGAACCACGCAATTCCGTATTTCCTCATTAAAATGAAGTTCACAGTCTCCTAAGAGACCGGCTGCACTGAGTCACTGTGAGGAAACAGCAGGTGTATGTAAAGGTCTGTGCCAGCGCTGTTTCAACGAAGTGGCATGCAAAACACATATGTAACCTTAAATTTTTCAGTAGCTACCTTTAACAGCTAAAAAAGAAACGGGTGAATTAATATGAATAATTATCTTAGTTACTCGGTATGTCTTAAATACTATCGTATCAACATGCAATCAGTGTAAAAAAAATTTTTTTGCGGTCCTTTTATTTTTTAAATTTTGAGACAGGGTCTCCTTAAGTGCTGAGACTGGCCCTTAACTTGAGATCTTCCTGCCTCAGCCTGAGGAGGCGCTGCAGTTCAGTAGGCCTGTGCTGCAGTAGCCATCAAAATAAACTTTTTAATGAAATGTTTACATTTTTTTGTATTAAGTCTTTCAGTCTGTGTGTATTACATTCAGTGCATCTCCGGGGCCATACATTTACCTTGGAAATACTTGATTTGCATTTAAATTTCATAAAATTTACACTGAAAATTCAGTGAACTCACATTTCTAGCTTCCAAATTTGAAGTTTTCCAATTACCAAATGAAATACCAATTTTCAAAGTATATTTAGATCACTTAAATTAACTAAAAGTTAAGTTTTCAGTCATGTTATCCACATATTAGATGCTCAGTTACCACCTATGGTCCATGGCTGTCATGTTGATAAAGGTGGGTCTATGAAAACGTAGGATGAGATTATGAGAATGATGAGATAGTCTTTTAGATGTCTCAATCTGTGGGTGAAACATGTTTCTCTTCCAGCCTAACTTTCTACATTCCACAAAAAATTAACACTTATTAGGCATCTGCTGTATACTAGACACTTTCCTAGAATTAAGTGTCCAAGCATAAGTTATCTTTATCCCAAAGGAAGTCACTACCTAGTGTAGACATTTTAAGATTATTTTTAAATATTTTTAAATTATTCATCATTATTACAAATATAGGCATGCATAATTCAACTAAAATAAAGAGAGACGTAACTGGGATCAAAGGGTGAGCAGAAATATGTGAGGTTGGAAAATTCTGAGCAGGAAGAAAGCCAAGACCATCTACAGGTCTGGTGAGGTTGGTGGAGAGGGCATTACAATAAGTTGGGACAGTAGCTGTAGTTGTTGAATGGATTGAGGAAAACTTAGAAGGAGCCTTGGTTTTTATTCCAGTTGTATGGTAGGAATTGAAATATCAACTCCTGATTTCAAACATCACCTTTCCTATTTTCACAGTCCCCCACATACATACACATATCCCACTGTGAAAATCACAGCCAGACCTTCAGTATCTTTGTCTCCCACTTCTGCAAGAAGACTCCTATTATATGTTTATTAAATGTTAAATTGAATGTTTATTAAATGTTAACTCTATATTCAAGAGAAGGAGGCCTAATACATACACACTTTCTGGCCTCAGTACATGTATGATCTAGTTGCTGACACTTTCCCCCTGACGTGTCATATAATTTCTGTCAGCACTACTTATTGAACAAATTACTTAGGGGCAGGGTGGCAACTTCAGTTGTTCCTAGTAGTTACCGTATCTGTGATAATCTCATGTAAACATCACTGTGATCACTTGGTGGACAAATCTTAGGTTTGGATGGAGAATAAATTAGGAAATGGCTCCTTCACATGGTCTATCTGGAAATGTTCACAAAACCCCTTTTACTGCAATGAATAGTGTCTGTGCCATCTAGAAAATATGTCATCAAATAAAGGATACACAAATAATGAAAATATATACATGTATCAAAAACCTTGTAGACAAATTGATTCCTCCTGATAACCAGGTGGATTTATTGACAATCAACTCTATTCATATCTACACTATGTACATCCTTACAAGATTCCATAAAAGTTATGATTAATTTAATCTTAAACAGGTAAAAGTTTTTTGTCAGTAAGTTGTGGAGCCTAGATTTGAATTTGTATTTCATGTAACTTCCCCAAATTAATATTTTTCACAACATATCTGCCGCTCTCACCCTCTTCTTACAGGTGTGAGACTTTTTCCACCTAAAAAGTAATCTGCTGTATTCTTCATTCATTCATTTAACCAATCTTCTTCAACTATCAAGTTTTGCTTAATTGAGGCCTGGGTCACTCCGCCCTCTCCCCTCCCCTTCTCTGAACCCCTCCCCTTCTCCCCGCCCCGCCTCTGGAGAGCACCGCCCTACGACTCTGTCCCAGCCACGCCTGCCACGCCTCCTCCGCAGCCCCTAGCGACCCCTCGGGTTCTCAGCCACGCCTCCCTTTCTCGCACCGCCTCCTTTCTCCGCCCCCGCCCGCAGTCTATAAAATCCGGAACGCCGGATCACGTCCGGGAGCGGCGAGCCAGCGGACGCGGAGACTGGGCATGCTCCGCAGCGGCGCAGGTTTTGGACACAAGTAGGAAGAAACCAGTGCAGGACACCGGCACCGAGAATCCGGAGCCGCCACCGGCGACTTAAAGCCGAAGCAGGCGGGAGTCGGAGCGGGCTGAGATCCGCTGAGACTGTCCTGCCGCCTTTTGCCTCTGTCTGCGCGGTGCTTCGGACCCGGGGTCTGTCACCTGGGCGGCGGGGATCCCCGCGCCGGGAGCCAGAACGGATAGGACCCTCCTTCTGTCTGCTGCGGCCGGAGGGCGCCCCCCTGAGTGGAGCAGCCGCCGCCTTCTGCGGACCGCTGAGTGTCCGGCTCGCGCCCGGCGCCCGGAGCTAGCGACTGCCACCGTCAGCTCGAGGAGGAGGGGGCGGCCATGGGGCTGCTGTCCCAGGGCTCGCCTCTGAGCTGGGAGGAGACCAAGCGCTACGCCGACCACGTGCGGCGGCACGGGATCCTCCAGTTCCTGCACATCTACCATGCCGTCAAGGACCGGCACAAGGACGTGCTCAAGTGGGGCGACGAGGTGAGCGCTGCGACCGGTGCCCCTGCCAGGTCACCGCGCTCCTTTGTTCCGCCAGGCGGGACCCGCACCCTCATCCCCGGCCCATCTCTGTCGGTCCTCTGTCCTGCGCCCTGGCGCTGTCTCTGCCATTACGGACCGGTGTGCAGGGCCACAGGCCCTGGGGGCCCTGCCTGAGCCCCTTAGCCAGTCTCCCATCTCTCCCCAGCTCTCGTTTGTTCGTTTATTCATTCATTCATTCATTCATTCATTCATTTAAGCTTTCCCCTTCATTCAAGAAACGCGGATTTGGGTGCTGGGAGGACGTGAGCATGAAAAAGTTTGTATATACGTGTGTGTATATATACGTATACAAGAAAGTTTTGTGTAGCTTCTGACTGAAGGCTACCGCCACCCACTGTCCCATCTCAAAATTCATCTTTGCGATTAATGTGAAGGGACTAAATTGTTCTACGAGGCCTCTTGCTTTTAGAAGTCAGGTCTAAAGGATGTACATCCTTACATCATACAGCCCTCCCTACCTCATCTAGGTGTTTTTGTTAAACTTCTCTGTCTTTAACCGCCAACTTTATAGCTATAAAGTGGAACAAGTTACAGCTCAGTTTTCCTAAAGGAGGAAGGAACCTTCGGTTCCTGTTTAAGCATAAGTGGGAATGTTTTAAGTCTTCAAAGTTATGATTCTTCAGTGCTTTCCTAGGATGATCTGAGTCCTGCACCTAAACTTCACCATTCAGCGCTTTAGCATGTGTTCTGCCTGGAGATGAAATCTTTAGATTTTCAGTGTTGAAACATTATTTATTGGAATGATCTGGAAAGCAGCAATGTTAAAAAATTGTTACATTTAGTCTTTTCTGCCAAAGTTTTTTGTGCCCTTCCTGTTTTTAAAAAACATTACTATGCAGTACATATTATTAAAAGACTTCTTGAGAAGTCTGTCTGTTTTGCATGGTTTGGGCACTTGCTGTAGATGTTTTGCTACTCCTGTAATTTATCTTCTGGTCAGTGTTGTTATCACTCTTGGTCCAAGTGTGGAAGTGCTGCCATACCAATGCAGAGTACCTAATTGCAAAAAGTTAGTTTTTCGTGTTTCTAAGATTGGTAGATAACTCTGCTGATTTAAATTAGAAAAGTAATAATGACTAGTAATTCCTGTTTCTACAAAATGTTCTCTCACACTTTGGACAGAAAAAGGATACATAAAATGTGTTTGGTAGTTCTTCAGTTTTAATCTAAAATTCAGTATTTCTTTACAACATCTGCATTTATACATTTATTTGTGTATTCCATATCACAGGAAAATATCAGCCCTGGGAGGAGGGACTGATATTTAGGAGGGACACCATGCTTC